GTCCTGCACCCTTCCAAACATCAACAACACCAGCAAACATCCAACAATAACATAGCAGCACCTCATCGTAACAAACACCATCACAGCAGCATCACCACAGCATCTCAGCAACAGCAGCAACATCACAGCAGCACCAGAAGAATAGCAGATCAGCAAACTGATTCAACACAGATCATCACCAGTTCAGAAAACCATTTCAACTCGGCAGTGTAATGAGTAAAAGTGTCACATGAGTAGAAGTGTCATATGAGTAGAAGTGTTAGTGCTTCTTGCATTAAGGTCTGGTTACTTGTTAGACAGATTTGAATTAGACATAAATTCAGCAAATAGGAAAACAAAAGCATGAAAGGAGTAGCCTACTCCACAAGGTTGGCTTGAGATACACACACAAGTCAATAGGGAATTTCCACACTGGCTCTTTAATTCCAACTCTAAATTCATAATCAAGCAGGGGCCTCTTTATGTGGACACTAGTAAACCATAATGAGAAATAAACTTTCTAAAAATTACCCCATTTAGAGACTGTAAAATATTCAAAATCTACCAAAATAAGTAATTCTAAACAAGTAATTGGCTGGATTATAGCCCAAGAGAAGTCTACTAACCAACACACAAACTATAGCAAAGAAATCCCTAAAAATAAAATACATCCAGAACATTCTGAAGCTCCTAATAGGGGACTAACAAATTCTAATCAAGAATAAAATGAAGACTCATAAATAAACAAACTTCATACTAACTAGACAAACTTGACACTATTTGCTTGGGATTCTATTTACTGCTTCTGCATCACAATGTCACACATTCATGTGAATAATTGGGGCTTATGTTTTCAATGAAAGAACTGAGATTTCAACTATATTACACTGAAAATCAATTGTGAGAACAAGATGGAAAAATTTGTTACTAGCAACGTGGTCAAGCAAGACGAACTCAACACTGGAAACAGTTTTGAGGCATGAGAGTTAAATAATAGGAAGGCAGCTTTAGCTCCTGAGACATTTACGTAAGATTTTTCTACAAAATTAGACCTCAGAACTTAAATCTGTTTTCTTATGTTGTAGAGCTTTTAAAAATCATTATTGAAAGTCTCAATGTGTCCAAATTCATTGATGAAGAAATGATTACCGAGTGGTGTTCAAGTCTAAAATTTTAGTATGCATTTAGCAGATGGTCCTCAAGTAAATGTCCTAAATGCTAAATCCACCACAAGAAAGGAAGCATAATTTGAATGGAATTATAAAACTGCAGTTAGCATTTAATTCACCCAAAATCCCCATTGAACTTAACTTCAAAGTCAAGAAGAAAAGAAATTACTCATAATACACTTGAACAACACTAAGAAACTTACAACATGAGAAGACTTTCCAAATTTTGAACAAAGTATTCAGGAGATGTTTGGTTTGATTATCCCTTAGCAACTGGGGAACATGATTCTTGAAAACCTTGTAAAATTGAATCCAACGGAAGGATGTCTAGTAGCAAGGTAACACAGTATCTGCTTAAGAAAACGCTAGCAAATTCTAGGAATGTCATGAAAAAAAAAACTAACTACGGCATTTACATATACCAACACCAACCACCAAAGCCTTGAATACCTATTGAGTTAGTATAAAAATGCACAGATCTTTGAAAGTAAACAGATGTTCCCATGTATGTGTATACATGTAAGCACATAACAAGAAGGGCTTTCAGTGTTCAATAAATTTTGCAGCTAATTTCTTTAAAGGCATGGGTTCTACAAAATCAGTTCATTGTCAGAAACAGAAAGTGCCAATCAGTGCCATGGTCTCAACTGGTGCCCATGGTGCAAATCAGATTATTAGCAGTCTCATCTATCAAGGTTGTGCCTGATCTAGAATTGGCAATTTCAGATCAGAATGCTTATAAGGAATGCTTCAGGACTAGAAATATTTAAATTTTAAACACACAACATAGTCCTCAGTAAAGAATTGTGAACAATAATTTACCATGAATTTCCAGCAGCATTAGAAATAATGTCATAAATTATCCATGGATGAATACCAGCTTGGGCACCAAGAGAAATGGCCTCCACAGAAGAAACAAAATGAATGCCCTCAAGCAGCTCTATTACCATTTTAATTTTGCTGCAATTTAAAAAAGAAAAGTAGACATTAACAATAACATCATCTAATATGATATTAGAACACCTAACATAAATAAACAAAGAAAAAAGGCCATTCCCCTGTGCCAATCCCTGTTAAATTGGATTAAACACCTAGCGCAAACAAATTTACTATCACGTGGCACAACCAAGACACAATTAAATTATCATTTGAAAAGCATTGTTCAAAGATATGAAATTACTTAAATTTGTATTGGAATATTCAAGAATCATTTAGTTGTAAGTTTATAGTAAATTAGATTTGACTTGGTTTACACAATCACTAGTGTAATATTAGGTCAGGTGTTGTTTTCTGCGCAAAGCCATTAGTTTTTTTTTTTAACCAAATTTTAATTCCCCTTTTTGTTTCCAATATTTACATGTTATCAAAGCCATATCACTACTAAGAAGCAGCCTATCAGTTCTCGTATTCCTGTCAAGTAAAAAAAATCTCCTATGGTTTCCTAGTGCTGTCTTGTGAATTTTCTAGTCTCCAATGGTTCAATAGCTACATGTTGAATATTGTTATAATTTAGCAATAAAAAGAGACAAAATGCTATATATTAGCAATGTTGCTCCAATGATGACTTTGCTCCTCCATTTATTCTCCCATTTCAACTATCATTTCAAAATAACAAGTACATGCTACTTAATCAAACTTTATTAACTTAATTTAGAGTTACATCCTGCAAAATAAAATAACATAAGACATAATCATGGAAGAGGAAGAACATAATAATCTGAGTTGCTTGATCATGCCAAAATTTTTGTGCCTGATCGTTCATTTAGAGGTATCTCAAGTCAGCTCTTGTGAAATGGATCCTGTGCTCTAACCATGATCACTTAAAATTGAAAGCATTTAGTGATATTATTATCAAGAAGACTAAGAAACTGTAGCTTAGGGAGTGATGCAAGAGGATCAATCTCAACCAAATTCGTTAGTTGATTGTTAGTGAGAACCAAAGTATGCAACTTGGGCAAGAACTCTGCAATCACAAACTACCAACCCATTAAGATGCTATTACTTTAGAACAAACCAAAGCCCTCCACTCTCTTAAATGAGGAAGAAATTGTGTGTTATGTGTTTGGGGGTGTAATCAATTAGCATTTTATGAAAACACTTGACAAAAGTTAAGATTTCAGATTTTCAAGTTTTATCTTTGACCAAAATATTTATCAAGAGGCTGCTAATTTGCATCTCAGCCAGCCATGCCTAATGCTAAACCAACAAGAGGAGAGTGCAATCCAGACAAAAAAGGTTATACCCAGTGCACAAGGCTCACACTTACAGCAGGGCCTTGGAATGGAGCATGGTGTCCAAGTTCCTCAAGTAGTACCACAACCTCAATATAGAATCTATAGATTAAGTGTATAGGGTTGGGTCTTCTTTTTATTTATTTGCTTACAAAATATATATATATATATATATATATATTTGTTGTCCCTCCTTGTTGAAGCTGTGTCAATAATTCTTATGGCAAGAGCAGAACATGGAAATAGTCACTTTGCTTTACTTGAGTTTTATATTCAAGTAGGCAACTGCTTTAGTTTTTTATTCTTCAACCTCTCTCATCTGCTTTAGTTTTAGATCGTAAACAATTACGCATAAGACTGTGCATATCACCCTCTTGTTGTCTATGTTTATTCTTCTTCTTTTATATATACATGTGTGTGTGTGTGTGTGTGTGTGTGCGCAATTCGTAAACCTTGTTTAGTGTAGCCATGTTCAATTATCCATTAAGGTAGGTTTTGGTTTTTGTTTACAAACATTTTTTTATGCTTTCCTCATGTTTCTATTTCCAAGCTAACTAAAATAGTGTATTGAAATGAAATTCCGACCCTTATATATAATATATAAGCAAAATCCCATCAATTTTTAAGAATTAAAACACTAGTTTAGTGATTGTTCATCAGCAGCAAAGTGGCAACTGAAAAACATACACAATAAATAATAGAAATACTAAGATCAAGTTGTAGGTTCAACCCTGGGTAAGTTAAGGAATGTAAAGCGAACAAAACTATCACTCCTGAGATATATAGATATAGTTGGAGACAACTGCTACTCAAACTATGGTGTGAAGAACAACAAATAGCACATAGTCACAATATACTTCGTCCAGCACGACATATAGTCATGATTTCTTAAGACAACAATAGCACATCCCTAGGTGAGCAACTGGATAGAAACACAGTACAATTATTCAGCTCATAATTAAGAACATTATTTCACATTAGGGATAACGAAGAAAAACAACAACAACCAAAAAAAAAAACTAATCAGAAACTCAAGCAAATCATGAAACAAATACTAGTATTCTTCGCATAAACTAATGAATACATCAAACCTTTGTCTTCTCTGTCTTTCCAGAACCAGTGTTGATTTTCAAAGAAGAAATATCACTAGAACTGCAATCTTGTGCAGTCTTTTCACTAGGAAATGCTGCCCCACCATCTGCATTTAGAATTACACAATAGCAGTGATTTGTATCTATCAAGACCTGCAAAACAAAAAATTCCCAGATGATAAATGAAACAATGCAAGAAACAATACTTAATTCAAACATGTAAGTAATAGATTTCAATTTTTACCTCATTTCTCCGAATCTTCAGTGGATACACTTGAAAATAATTGGGGAGTCATGTATTTATAATGATATAAAAACTTTGTTGTGAGTAAAAATGAACTAAATAAATATGTGATGCACTCTCCTCACCAATTTTGAAAAGACAAAAGCCTTAAAGCATGACAGATCATTCAAAATCAGAAAAGCATATATGTAAACAACATATTTGTCCGATATCTACTAATTTAAGTTTTACAATGGTATAAATCATTTTTATCGTTTTATCTAACATCATTATTTTTCAATTTGCATATCAATGACAAAATTGCAGATTTTTCAGCAGAAAGATAAAACAAAAGGATATAGCATATATCCATAGCATACCTCGGAAAGGGTTCAAATTGAAAGGAAATAAAAGATAGTATGGCTCAACCCAACTATTTCATGATGAGCTCAAACTGCCAAATGTTTGGTTCAACTCAGGTCAATTGCAACCCTAGCTCAATCTTGGCAAGAGCTAGACTTCTTATGCTCCAAGCATGCATGAATAGTATGACAAAAATGTAGTTATTTGTCCACCTATGAATATCATCAAAAATAGCTCAATCAAAAGATTTCAACTAACTTACGATTTGTAAAAGATTATTGAAAGACGAGGAGAGACGCATACCATGCTTGTAGTTATATCACCTTTGGATACCAAGGCACCAACTATAAACTCCAGAGCTGGAAGATCACCAATGTTTGAATCTATAGCAAAATGTAAAAGGTTTTTTTAGCAGTTTCTACTGGAATCTTCCTTACATATATTGTGATGAATGCATTCTCCACAGCTTCATAAATGGATTTGTCCTGTGAAAATACCTGTATGCAGCCAGCAAATATGCACAATTCACTATTTACACGAAACATCTACTGAAAGGTATGAGCAAAAAACTTATTATTATTATTATTATTATTATTATTATTATTATTATTATTATTATTATTATTATTATTATTATTATTATTATTATTATTATTATTATTATTATTATTATTATTATTATTATTATTATTATTATTATTATTATTATTATTATTATTATTATTATTATTATTATTATTATTATTATTATTATTATTATTATTATTATTATTATTATTATTATTATTATTATTATTATTATTATTATTATTATTATTATTATTATTATTATTATTATTATTATTATTATTATTATTATTATTATTATTATTATTATTATTATTATTATTATTATTATTATTTTGCTGTTGGGAGATAACTTCGCTTAGTAGACATCTAATTCAAGATACTTAAGAATACAATTAGCCAAGATGAAAGGCATTGTTGTTCATATTGGCTATTGGGGATGCAAATATTCAAACAAATCCTCAAGCTCCAATACTGACAAGAGAACAATCACTTTACTAATACTGACAATATTAGCCACTAACATCTCTGTCCTAACCAATCCTTACAAGGTCAGAGTAACAACTTTGAGGAGCATAATCAAACCAACAATTCCTAAAACTTCACCCTTAAAGCAGTGCCAACCATCACATAAATAACCTTATTATAGGATATAGTATTGCTTAGAGAATATCTTCTTCATCAATATGTTCTTCTAAGAAGGCAGATTTGAAATAACATTTTCTTTTTTTTTAACCCCTTTAGTTCAACAATAGCTCCTGCCAGGAGCTAAACATCATATAGGAAGGTATTAACCAAAAGTTGTATGGTTGGTTGGAAGCTTCTAAGAAGAAAAAGAAGAAAAAAACTTGCTAGATCAGCCATACAGCAGCCAAAAGGATGCCTCATCAAGCTACCTTCAGTTTAGCCATAATCACACATCTTTATTGATCCTAAACATCTCACATGATCTTGGATCTGTGCAAGAATGAGTTGGTCTCTACTTAATGATCATTGTATTGACAATCAAAACTGTAATGCTTCTAGAATTGCATGTCTGTGTGTAACATGGATGGACATTTATATACTTAGGCGTATGCACATACGCAAATATGTATTGTTAACAAAATTCTAGTAGCAACTCCAGGTTGATAATTTTTTTGGCTATATGCCAAATCTGGTATGCATCATTTTCACACTCATTTCCCAGCTCAAAGCATAGAGAGAGAGAGAGAGAGAGAGAGAGAGAGAGAGTTACCTGCAAGGTATTGTGCTTGAGTTATGGTAATAGTGTTTGTAGTTACTCCATTAACGAGGGGTCCCCCATATTGCAGAACATGACAACCTGGTGTCACATAGCCCTAAATGGTTGGATACCCATGGTTGCCAAAGAAAGGATGACCCATTTGTCCATATGGGACAATATTTGTGTTAACTGTGCTTGGTACGCCATATATTTGAAGGTAATGCTGACCCATGTGAGGATTGTAGACACCCTGAAAAAATAGACAGAACACATCACGATTGTGCACATATTCCTTTCCAGAACTAACTGGAGTACCAAAATACCCATTAGCAGTTGAGATTTGAATTTACTGACCTGTGGGTAGGCATATTCGGGTCCAAAAGATGCGTACCTGCCAAAGGAAAGATTAATGCCTTGATGTCAAAGAGCACATCAATCAGTTTAGGTTGTAATGCAAGTGGACGTCAGATGATCATGTAAGTGAACACATGAAGCTCTGACATCACAAGAACAAGGCTTTTCTATCATACATAAATTACCATGACAATCATCTTGTGCTGATGCATATACCTTCGGTTTTTTGAATTAATAATAAAAACATAAAAAGCGGACGAGTTCAAAAAAATATCACGAACAAACAAACTTTAATTCACAAAAGTTAACTTGATTTTCACAAGTGTATGAATAAACTTTGCTAGTAAACATCAACTTCTACAAACCTCTGGTTGATAATCAACAATGACTTCAACAAAGAAAACGGACGCACAAGAATTTGCTCAATTAGCTATTTGTCTGGATAGGGGCAATTTAACTCTCCTATAGGCTCATTTTGCCCACGAAAGTGCAAAATCATGCGAGTTTGTAGAGATTGAGAACACCAACAGGTGGAAGTAGATTTTCACATAAGTCTTAGTTCATACTCGCCGGCCATGGTTATGTATCTCACACATGGAAGAGCCTGGTAGCCGCTTTTCTCGATAATCTTTAGGTAACGAACCTACAAAACACAGCATTTACATAAATAAAGGATATTATTTTATTATGGTTGTTACGTTACGTTCAGAACCAAACTGAGCATCTAGAAGAACCAAACAACAGGAATACATCATCATGAAGAGTCACCAAAGCAGTTTCCCCAACCAACTTGAATAAAATAAAATAAATTTCAAAGTTAAAACCAGTGGCACTGTTCACTCCTCAGAACAAGAACAAGACCAGAACTAGGGCAAGTAGGCATCAACCCCTTCGCTTAAGGTTTAGAAGTTTCACATCCCAGCAGTAGAAAGCAGCAAGCAAGAATCAGAATAATTATAATACATAGGTTCAAACATGCTCAATCACTAACATCTGTGGAAAACCACATCTCTAAGTTCAACATGCTATTCTATTCTAAAAGGAAATACAGTGCAGGAGCAGGAATACCACTTCAACAAGCACAACTTCTGTCAATGGCTAATGACAAATTACAATGCCAAAATGGCTGAGACAGACAGAGAGTAGTTTGGCCTTTTTTTGTATCCACATCTGTGAATTTAAAAAGCAGGTTGGCCTTTTTTCTATTTATGAAACAACAAATGTACCTCTCAATCTGTTCTGCCTAGCAAGTCCTGCCCTGCTTTTGGCAGCTGCCAGGGTTTTTGCCATTTTTTACAGCTCGAGTTGCAAGTACCTGCCATGGAAATGCACAAGGAATCTTGATATCTATTAATGTCAGACACTTTATTCAATGATTCAGAAAACCTCTCCCCAAGTTAAATGGTTTTTTTCACCTTAAGGCTTAGAGGTTCTCTATTGGCAGAATATAGTGCTGTGTATAAACTGTAAGATGTGTCGTGTTCTGTAAATTCTTGTCTGAAATCTGTTTGGATTTTAATAATTTGTATTATATGAATGCTTTTTACCTAGAACAATGAAAGTGCACCAGTCATATTAATGCACCCAATCCAGCCATTTCACTCCAAATTCAATGCCACTGACAGTTTGAATGCTAAAAGGCTTGGCCACAATGACTGTGCACTTAGAACTATATGCTTTTTAACATCTAACTGCATATAGACTTCAACCAGGAATTCTTCGTATTCAATGTCTACAAGATTAAGCATCACAAGGTAACTATATGATCAAAAGAACTATCATGGTGAATCCATGTTCCAGAAAATTTGGATTAACATGTTATAGAGCTATATGCTTTTTCACATTGTTATACACATTCGATAAGGTGCTACCATTTCAATTAACATGGTTTGCTTTATGCTCAGAACCAACAAGAAAAATGAAGAAGAAGAAAGAGAATTGCAAACAAACTTTATTTGTGGCTTTATATATTTTACCCTAGAATCATACCCAAGTTGTTGTTCCAAAAATCTGCGGATCACTTTTTAAGACCAAACCTGGAAAATTAAACTCAATGCCAAGATGGTATGTGCAGGTATCATTAAGCTGCGCTTGAAAACCTGCTATACATGTAAAATGAGAGACCAAATGTTTGTGATCATTTGTTGCCCAAGAAAAAATGTAAATATTTATAGCTTCTAAGAAAAAATTTGGGAAAAAGTAAAACATGGAATGTAAGTAGTTAGGACGTCATTTAATATTTATTGGATGTTGTCAAAATGTAAATATATATAAAGAAGGGGGAAAAAGAAAGTATCAGCATCTTGAAAACAATCCTATGTAGGAATAGTAAAAAACAAAACAAAAATAGCAACAGACATATTGTGAAAATTGGTTTTCTAACTTACTTTCTATCCCCCTCTACATCTGGAAGATCTTTAGTAATGGCAATGACTAGCACAAACAATGTTACAAAAGTTGTGATGAAAGCCACAGGTAAGCTGCAGTAGAAATTGATAACGTGCACATGAGAAATTTTGCTGAGTTTGAGAAATTTATAACGTGCACATAAGCTGCAGGTAAGCCATAGCCGTTAAATCTTGAAGTTAAGTTGGTTATGATTTCTATAGCTATGTTGCTAAGTTATTTGACATAATAGTGCTCACTTCCCTTAAGTGATATTAATCTATTCAATTGATATGGTAACGGGTAATAAACTGAAAAAATGACTAAGAGTCAATTTCATGAATCTACACATTGGGTCGATCTGTTTCTGTTCAATTAATCAAACCAGAAGTGTATTAAAAAAGAAACCTTTGAAGCAGAGTGGAGATGTCCTTTTCGCTGATTGAACCCTTTTTGTGCTTCTTCGTCTTATCAATCATTGTGATTTTTCAACTGAAATCGCATCACAAAAATCAAAAAATTAAAATTAAAATTCAAAAAGAATACCTTTATAGCCAAATATTAATAAACATAAACAGAAATTCCAAATGTACAAAGGCGTGTAAACGAATCGAATCAATTAATCAAACCAGAAGTGTATTAAAAAAGAAACCTTTGAAGCAGAGTGGAGATGTCCTTTTCGCTGATTGAACCCTTTTTGTGCTTCTTCGTCTTATCAATCATTGTGATTTTTCAACTGAAATCGCATCACAAAAATCAAAAAATTAAAATTAAAATTCAAAAAGAATACCTTTATAGCCAAATATTAATAAACATAAACAGAAATTCCAAATGTACAAAGGCGTGTAAACGAATCGAATCAATTAATCAAACCAGAAGTGTATTAAAAAAGAAACCTTTGAAGCAGAGTGGAGATGTCCTTTTCGCTGATTGAACCCTTTTTGTGCTTCTTCGTCTTATCAATCATTGTGATTTTTCAACTGAAATCGCATCACAAAAATCAAAAAATTAAAATTAAAATTCAAAAAGAATACCTTTATAGCCAAATATTAATAAACATAAACAGAAATTCCAAATGTACAAAGGCGTGTAAACGAATCGAATCAATTAATCAAACCAGAAGTGTATTAAAAAAGAAACCTTTGAAGCAGAGTGGAGATGTCCTTTTCGCTGATTGAACCCTTTTTGTGCTTCTTCGTCTTATCAATCATTGTGATTTTTCAACTGAAATCGCATCACAAAAATCAAAAAATTAAAATTAAAATTCAAAAAGAATACCTTTATAGCCAAATATTAATAAACATAAACAGAAATTCCAAATGTACAAAGGCGTGTAAACGAATCGAATCAATTAATCAAACCAGAAGTGTATTAAAAAAGAAACCTTTGAAGCAGAGTGGAGATGTCCTTTTCGCTGATTGAACCCTTTTTGTGCTTCTTCGTCTTCTCAATCATTGTGATTACATCACCTAAGGATGGGTATATCTTCACTTTCCCTTCAATCCTTGTCGTCAACTTATAGCCATACATATCTTTCTTTGATTTCAAATATGGGAAAGGTGTTTTGCAAGCTAAATCAGCTCAAACACCCTCACTGTCCTCCAATGGGATGTTAATTATACCAATTCTAATAAATTTTCCTTCAAGATGGGTTGTGGAGATCATTTCATTTGCAAGATCAGCCAATTCAAAGTCAGATATTTGCCAAGCAATCTGCCTTTTATATACAAAACTCCCAACAACATTAGATATCTCCAAAGAATCCTTTTTTCTTTCTTTAATCTAATGGGGAAAGCTTCCTTCATTTGTGGTTTTTTTCCATTGGTTAGCACTTGCATTCATCTTTTGCTTGTTCTTTCCTTTTTTATATGGATATAAATTACAATCAACTCCCTTGAGGTTTGGAGAAAATACAATAAGTTCCACACTTTTGACATAATTACACTGTCAAAATAACACTAACCTCAAGGGAGTAAAGTGGTAGATAGACACTGAAATAAACACACATATTAAGTGATGATAATATCATTTTTTCATTCATACGACTAAAGAATTACTGATGAAAGAGATTAAAGGTTATATGAATTAAACCTTGAGAGAGGTCGGAGTAATTATGTCAGAAATGTGGAGCTAACTGTATTTTCTTCAAACTTCAAGGGACGTGAGTGTAATTTACTATTTTTATATTACTTTTTTTCTTGTTAGTAGGAATCTTCTTCCTCCTGAAGCAATAAAACTGAAAGCAAGATCAAGTCTCAATTTCCAATTCCCTAAATTAATCTAATTTTGGGATAACAAGAGCAAAAAGTTCGAAAGTAAAAGCACCCAATATGAAAATTCTGCATCCAAAAAAAGGAGGGGGGGGGGGGCGAA